GTCAAGTTGTATGGTAGTGTGTGTATTATATCATATTATACTGGCTCTATTGTTTTATGTAGGACAACCAGTCAGTATTTCAATGATCCATTCATTCATTATTGGTACGTGTGTATTATTATTATGTACACTCTATGTTTGTAGGTAATAAAGTTCTGCCCTAATCTTTATACATGTACATGTACATATGTATGCATTCTAGTGTACTCTTGTATATTTTAGGATATGACTCGGGATACTATTTCAAGTGTCGTCTGTACTTGTATTATACGTTCTAATGTACTTTTGTATATTTTTAGGATATTACTCAGTATATTGTTTCAAGTCTCGTCTATTGTTCAGTAAATATGTGTTCTTGTATTATTATCTATTTTACAAGTTATATTTATGTACTTGATTCATTCAGGATGTTTTAAGTATTGTCCAGTATATGATTATATTATTATTTATTTTACAGGATCATAAATACACTGAATTAAATCTTTATGTGGTAGTTATGTTATAAATGGAAATTTGTGATGTGTATTCTTTTCATTTTCAGGATATTATCAGTATTCTAAAGATAAGACTACCTACAGTACATCCAAGTGTCTGTTGCATTTTATGTGGTTATTCTTATACTATTATCTTATTGTTATTTCATGACATTTGAATTTATATTTTTCAGGTTGGTGTGTATCAATGGATCAGAGGCAGTTCTCTATTGGTTAATGATATCCACACACTATCATGTACATGTACATCCTTATCTGTAACATGTATTCTATTTCCCTTTCCTTAAGATTGCTACATAGACTCAAGCCAGCATGCAGTCTTCTTCAGCATCAATTCAGTCCACCTCTTCAGTGTATGGTAACAATGTATCTATTGCATGTTATTAATAACCTTGTATTACAGTGCTAATAATAAACGGCTCATTTTATCACTATTCATCCCATTACATGTAATAAAGCACTGTCCCATTGATCTTTACTTATTCTATTGTTTAAACATTTTTCTCTTTTTTTTATTTCTACAGGAATCAATTTTAAAGTTGGTTGAGTGTGAGGTAGAGTGAGAGTTAATAATGTATAATTACGCATGCTTATAATGTATTTTATGCATGTACAATATAATCCACACATGTCCTTCCACCCCCCCCACCCCCTCTAGTAGGTCTGACTGTTCTGGACTGGACTCAGGATCAAGTTTAAAGTTGGTTGAGTGTGAGGTAGAGTGAGAGTTAATAATGTATAATTACGCATGCTTATAATGTATTTTATGCATGTACAATATAATCCACACATGTCCTTCCACCCCCCCCCCCCCCCC